CTTCCCTCTAGTCTTACACTGCTAAATTAGGGACGGCTAGCGCAGATGGCACTAGTGTGGCTTTGCGCGAAATTCAAAAAACAAACAATATACACGTCTAAAGTTACTTTTTTTTTTATCCCATTTCTTAGTTTAATTAACATCAACGCACAAGCTGTTTCAGAATGTTTTGTTTTTTTTTATTACTTTCACGTGTACTTATAAAATTCCCGGTTCGTTACTCACTGGTGCATCACGCTTGACTTTGTCAACGGCCAACCACAGCACAGGTTTATCAAAATAAATAGTGGTGAAATTCCCCAGGGGGCAAGCAAGATTTGACCTTCAGCAGGGAGTTGTAATTTGTATTACTGGTGTCACATGGCGGGTAATGAATCTTGTAAAGTGGTAAGTAAACGACAGAGGGCCAGATTATAATTTTAACACGTATCTGAAGGGATGTCACGTGTCCTGGATACCAGACTTATTCGTTACGATATCCATACCGTGGTATACTGGGGATGATATAATTATGGTGTTGAAAAACTGTATAAACTACAGATGATGTAACAAGTGTACATTTGTGACGTATGTACCAGTTGGTTATACTAACTTAACTAGTCTACAGCGGGTAATTATAATAATGTTTAATGTGAATACAGCTTATTTGTCCCTACGTCACTGGTTTGTCTATGAACAAAATGAGGTACGTACCCCCAGAGAAAATGTTTTAGGTTTCGTTTCTTCATATCCAGAAAGTTTTATCTAACTATATCCCTCATTAACTCACTTTATTTTATAGAAATAACCATCAATTTACTAAAACAAAAAATGTTGTAAAACATTAGGCCTAACCATTTATATTGAAAGTTTGTGTTTTAAAGCTCCATTTTCTTTTTTTAACTTCATTTTTGAGTTCGCGAGCGAGAAACTTTCCTTTTTTTGATCTTTTATAACAGTTGTTTTTTTCTAGTATCTATACAAACACGTGCAAATATATATATATATCATCAAAAATTTCTATCAGACTTTCGCTGAATAAATTTACACTGAACGCCGAATAAATACATACCAAAACCTGATAGTGTAGATGAGACAGTTTGTCCAGGTGTATCTCGTTCAAGGCATGGTTCGGTGTTACAGCACTCCTGTATATTGTTCTAGCATATTACTGTAGTACGGGTTTCTTCTAATGTGTCTCAGTGGTTTCTTCTAATGTGTCACAGTGGTTTCTTCTACTGTGCCACAGTGGTTTCTTCTAATGTGTCACAGTGTTTTCTTCTACTGTGTCACAGTGTTTTCTTCTAATGTGTCACAGTGTTTTCTTCTACTGTGTCACAGTGGTTTCTTCTACTGTGTCACAGTGGTTTCTTCTAATGTGTCACAGTGGTTTCTTCTACTGTGCCGCAGTGGTTTCTTCTAATGTGTCACAGTGGTTTCTTCCACTGTGCCACAGTGGTTTCTTCTAATGTGTCACAGTGGTTTCTTCTAATGTGTCACAGGTGGCACGGTTTCAGCTTCGCTCTCCACTTCATTTCTAAAGTGATATTCCACTGTTTATCGGCTAATATTGATAGACCACGAAAAAGGCATTTTCAGTGAGCTCGAGCTCACGTGCAATGTGTTACATCTACTGTCATAACGATATGATAGAGAATTAAAAACATTAGTAACGTTAAGTATCATAAAAATACTATAAAATAGTGACACAGTAGTAGAAACATAGTGTTCTAACGATACGATACAACGGTGACACAGTAGTAGAAACATAGTGTTCTAACGATACGATACAACGGTGACACAGTAGTAGAAACATAGTGTTCTAACGATACGACA